TAAACCAAATAAATTTTGGCAAGATGAAACTGTTACAAGTCGAAGACAGGCTTTTTTAAATAATTTATCTACTGGTTTAAATCCACCATCAGGAAAGGGGCGCAGACTAATAATAGTACACATCGGTAGTTCAAACGGTTTTGTTAAAGGTGGTTTATTGACTTTTGAATCTACTCGTGAGGACATGAATGCTGATGTCTTTAAAGAGTGGTTCGAACAAATTATAGATCTTCTTCCTCAGAACTGTATAATAGTAATGGAGTTATCACTCGAGACTTATAGAAAAAATGCCCACAACCAAGTGGTTAAAAAAAGATTTACAGAATTGGCTATCCCGGGTCTGTGAGAAAAGAACTGTATCATTTGTGTTCCCTTCATAAAGAGAAATTCAAAAAATATGAAATTGATGAAATTGCAAAAAATCGTGGGATGACGGTGGTTAGATCACCACCATATCATTGCGAAGTAAACCCGATTGAACTGATATGGGCACTGATAAAGGGAGAAGTTTCAAGAAAAAATAATTCTTTTAAAATGAGTGATGTTAAACAGTTGTTTTTGGAGGCTGTAAATAATGTGAAGCCTGAAAACTGGGAAAAGGCAGTAAATCATACGATTACAGAAGAAGAGAAAATGTGGAAGTTGGACAATATTACTGATGAAATGATCGAGCCACTCATTGTAAATATTGGTTGCGACAGTTCATCTTCTGATTTCGATTCTGATTTGGATTTGTAGGTAAGAAGTAGTTTTTATATTAAAATTATTATTTATGAACGTAACGTTGTTTAAAAGTCAAAGTTTAAACCCTTATACCTACATAAACCATTTGACACAATGTTCTTAACATACCTTGTGGAAAAATAAAACATTTTAGAAAAAATTGCACTTTTTTACCTTCAGCTGTTTAGAAGTTATAAGCAGGTGAATTAGGTAAAAGTATAAGTGTAGACTCGAGGAATAACTTCAAAAAATATTTTAACTGTCTACTAAAAGAAGTGGTACGCCTATTAGTCTAAGATCCGAAGTAAGGTCGACCTTCACCCATCTGTTTAATGGATGAAAGTTTCTTTTTATTACATAAAATATATTTATAAATATACCGCAACTGGGTTGCCTAAGAAAATATGGTCCAAACTATTTTTTTTTTTTAAGTAAACAAAACGACACCCTGTAAAGTATTCCCCCAGATGATTCAACTATGCCCAAACTTTAGTCAGCTCACCGCAGGATGGATTAAAGCTTAAATTTAAAATTTGGTGTTTTTCTCTTTATCCGTTTTTGAGTTGTCTTCAAAATTCGAAATTTGCACTTTTCCTCAAATATCTCGAATTAGGTTCATTTTGGGAAAATCATGTATAGAAACAAAATAATAGATAATGACATCATAAACAACTGTTATCATGATTTTTATACTTTACTTATCTGTACACAAAAAGGAAAGTAAAAAATGGCCGTGACCGTATTTTCTTAGGCAACCCATTTGCGGTATATTTAAAAACATATTTTATTTAATAAAAAATAAGTTTTATCCATTAAATAGATGGGTGAAGGACGAAGGTCGACCCTACTTACGGATTCTGGACTATATGGATTACGAACGCTTTATTATTTTAATACTCTCTCATACATAAAAATAGACTATACCAAAAATAATTACAAAATCCTTATATTGCTCTAAATATATAATTAAAAGCCTTTTAAAATCATGTATCGCTTACCCACTTTTCATTTAAAAAGTTTAATTTTATAAATAAAAATCGATTTAACAATTATTATCAATTAAATAGAAAATGAATTTAGGAAATCACTGTAACTTATAAATATAATTAATCCTCTCTTAATTATTAAACATATACATCCTGTATAAACAAACGGAATTACACCGTCCTGTAAATTTCCAACATTGAATAACACTCTCCATATCGAAATTTATCGTTTTACGAGCTCTATATTGCTATATAAAATAGTCGGAGCGTGTAACCTGTTTTGACACTTTGTGTATACGTAAACGATACGTCTAATGGAAATTCTAGAAAAACGACAGACTCTTTTTTTTTTTTTTCGAAGATTCATGACCATAAAAATGAGACAGTTATGACGCATTCCCCGGCCGGAATCAAATAAGGCGAGAAAATATGCCAAGCAAGTATGGAATGGCGCAGTCATATCGGATAATTCCGGTTTGGATCTTATTTCGGATGTATTTGTATAACTAAATGACGCTCTTTTAAATTTATGTAGTGCATTGTACGGACTTTTATGCTCATTGTAATTAATGGTATATTATAATATCAGATTGCCGATTTTGGTAATATAAATGTTGATATTTCAAATTATATTTAATGGTTAATTGAATATTCTGGTATATATTACTGAAAATTAATTATTTTTATTAGTTTTCTATTAAAGATAAAAAAAAATTCAGTATAAGCGCGTTTCTAGCCTAAATGGGTTTGAGAGCTCTGATATTTTATAAATGTCGTTATTTTGTATGAATGTCTTTCCTAAACAGAATGCTTGAATATAGTTAGAGAAAATATAATATAGAGTGATCAACAAAAAAATATTTCTCTAGTAGGTCTTGGAAGAATTTATGATTGTCGTAGTGTACAATTCTTCTTCATTTTAAGTGTCAGTTTTGATTTAAATTAGAACCCTGACAAAACTCGTCTTTGTCGTTCATGGTCTACTTTAGAAACATTTTTTGTGGATCACTCTTTAAATTGGTATAAAATTGCTTTAACAATTTAAGTTATTAAACATTTTTAGCAATAAATCTATTTTAGAACGCGACGGATACAATTTTAATTTGTATACATGAAAAATATCAATGATTTTTGAAACATTTGCAATTATCGCAGTAAATTATCATGATAGGAGGATATAGACAAAATAATACATTAAACGTCTTAAATGGTGAAAATAATGGCTCAAATTTCCTTCCATATTTCTATCGGTTATCCAATATTTGGATCATAATAGATTAATCATTATGAATCTGTAAAATATCCTAACCTTACTTTTCTTTACCTCCCACTCTCAATTCATTTTCCGAACAAAGGCATCGCGTGGTCAGACATTGTAAAATCTGACAAAACCTTTTTAAGTGCCTCCACCGAAATACAATAAATAATGAATTTTGGAGACGTCATCTTTCTAAAATGATAAATCGGTTAGGAGCGATCTCAAAAACAAAATTTGCAGCGTATTAATATTGTAGCGGTCAATAATGCCCGCCGCGATTTCAATATGAAAAGAATAACAAACGAATAAGAAAAGATCCACTTTATTTTGCTCCGGATACAGGGTGAACGGCATACACAGACTTCCAAAACGATTAAGATATCAGAATTGGCTAAGTTTTTACGTACACTTTGATGGAGAAGACTATGAAACGTTATATGAATACATATCGATGCTTACTGTTCTTTATAATCAGAAATTAATGATAATAGGTGTTTTCAATATTCCTGTATATACGGCTCTGATTAATGGTCCTGGTTTATCTGGCAGGTTCAGCATCTACTGTTATGAATTTTGCTAATTTCTTCGAGTTACATCAATTAAATCGTGTTAAAAACAAATTTAGATCTCATTTTTTATAACAAACACTGTTGTAAGTTGTAAGATAAGATGAAATTGTAGTAGAAGAATACTAACATCGTGGACTAAATTTAAATAGAACACAACATGACAAAATAAATAACATAACTAGGGGTGGGCAAAATAATCTATTAGTCGATTATTTTTTGAAAAATCTATAATTGATTAATCCATTATTTTCGATTAATAGATTATTTTGGATTTTTCAAAGATAATAATTATTATATTCTATTTCGATTAATCGATAAATTAAAATAATCTAATGATCGTTTAATCGAATAATTGACTTTAAAGGAAATACAAACAAAAAACAATTCGTTCAATCTAATAAAAATATGTCGTGGACAACAACTTTCTTTGAAAATTATGTTAAAAGTTAAGTTTTTATTTTTTTTTTTTTTGCGTGGTTCACTTTTTTTTCAAACAGGATAGCTAAGAATCTTTAATACGCTTACTTTTACATCATATTTTGTACAGGAATTCTCACTTTCACTAGAGATATGAAAAGTTCCTTGTATTTCCCGGCGAAATTAATTATTCTGTGATATACATCCGAATGTCGTTTAAGCTTTTCTAAAGAAAAATACTGCTCCAAAGTGCGATCCCAATTAATATAGCAAAAAGTAATACGTCGTGCAAATTTTAGCACGCATAAAATTAGGTACTATGATTTCGCGATATAGTTACAGACTATTTTTTTTGCAGAAAACAAAAGGATTTATTTACGCCTTGAGCTTTATGAAATTTGGCTAATATCGGAAGAAATATTACCGAGAAAAATAAAGCTCTTGAGGATAATATAGTGAATTCTTTTAGTGAAGAGCATTTACAAAAATATAGGCAAGATATAATAAAAATGTTTCTCGATTTTGTGGTGATCTGGCAAAGAGATGGGAATAGATCTAGGAATAAAGATCATTTCTTGAAAAAAAAAAACGAAAGTTGGTTACAATGTTGAATACGACAGCATGAGTTCAGCATCAACTTCTCAAGTAGGTCGACCATCCCTATCATTTGAAGAGAGTAGTGAAAGAACTAAAAGAAGCAAAATAGAACAACTTCGCTCAGAAGCCGGTAATGCCGAACTTACATATGCGCTAAAAATGAATTTACGGGCCGAAGGGAAACACGATGCTGTAAAGATTCTTGGCGAAGCATTGGAAGCAAGTCCAAACCGGGCTGCCAAAATCTTGCATGCATGGCAGGAATCGCATCGTAAACCAATTAAATATACAAGCGATGAATCTTTGTCCCTGATGATTGAGGCCAAGTTAACGAAACATTAGTATAATTTAATTCGCTCACAAGCTAAAATAAAAAATGCTGACATTTATCCAGCCTACAACCACGTTCGATCTGCAAAAAAAAAATGTTTTCCTAAGTCGGAGTCGATTATGATTTCTCCAGTGATAGCGGAGATTAAATTACAAGATCTTTTGGATCACACAGCTTCCAGAATATTGCTGGTTCAAGAGGATGTATTTGACCAAATTTCGTTGGACAATATTTCCCAAGAATTAAATCTAATATTAAAGTGGGGCTGCGATGGCAGTACGGGGCATAGTCAGTATAAGCAAGTATTACCTGAGGGTTTCAGTGACTCTGACATTTTTATTACTTCACTTGTGCCCCTACAATTAAGTGGTAAAAATACAGATAGGTCGGAGTCTGTTTTATGGCAAAATCCTCGACCGTCTCCTGTAAGATACTGCAGACCGATAAAAATTCAGTTCAAGAAAGAAGCTGCAGAACTTTCCCAAGAAGAAATTCGTTGTATCGAAGAACAAATTAAAAATCTGATACCATATGAAGTGAATATTAAAGGAAAACTATTTTCAGTAAAGTACACCATGCTACTGGCTATGGTTGACGGAAAAATATGCAATGCTGCTTCGTTTTAAACGTTTTCGCTCTCTTGCTACATATGTCACGCAACCCCTAAAGAAATAAATCAGATTGACAGAGTCGAAGCTAAAAATGTGAATAAAGAATCATTTCGTTTCGGATTATCAACATTACATGCGTGGATTAGGTTTTTCGAGTGCCTGTTGCATGTTTCCTATCGATTACCATTACCATGGCAGGCCCGAGGAAGTGATAAAGACATGTTAAAGGCTAGGAAAATGAAAGTTCAGCAGCAGCTGAGGCAAGAACTAGGACTACTAGTCGACCAAGTGAAACCTGGAGGAAGCGGAACAACAAATGACGGTAACACAGCAAGCAAATTTTTTAAATACCCAGATATTGCTGCCCGTATAACTGGTATTAATTACAGTTTAATTAAACGTTTTGAAACAATTCTACAAGCATTGTCATCGGGATACAAGAATGATATTAAAAACTTTGATCGCTATGCAAAAGATACAGCCCGTTTGTTTATACAAGAGTATTCATGGTTTTATATGCCTGTGAGTATGCACAAAATTTTAATTCATGGTTCTTCTATAATTGACCATGCAATTTTGCCAATCGGACAACTGTCTGAGGAGACACAAGAATGCACAAACAAGGAACTTAAAATGTTTCGAAGAGGTCATACTAGGAGAACATCCAGAGAAAATACAGTAGAAGATTTATTGAACTGCCTTCTTGTTTCTTCAGATCCCTTTATTACTAGCTTGCGAAAATTGCATAAAAAACAGAGTGGCCATCTCAGTAAAGAAGTTTTAGACGTGCTTTGTGCTCCTGAAGAAGTCGGCTCCGCTTCAGAAGATATAGAACAAAGTGTGCGACAAATATTATCTTCTAATAATAATAGTTCTACTGACAGTGACTAATTTTAGTAACCAACTATATTTTTCATGTAAACAACAATTGTTTGTTTTTTGTCCTTAAATTAATTAATGAATTTTGGCCAGGTTTTATAAAATCTGGCCCATTGTGACAACGGTTCTAAAACAAAACAAGGCTCAGGATATGGAATATACTCCAGATCCTTAAACCTAAACATAAAATGAGCTATAAGCAGTTGCGTCAGTATAGTGCAAACCGAGATCACAGGGATTTTCATAGCAGCAAAATAAATCGCCAGAAATAATATCATTGGAAGGGACATGCTCATCTATGCAGATAGCAGACAAACACTACTCATCAGTAGTGACAAACCAATTATTAAAGAACATTCCCTTGTGACATTCAAGGAAAGATGGGATGAAACAAGAAGCTGCAGAACTGCTAGGGAACTTTTAAGTTATCCTGACAACACTACAGCAAACAAATACTAGACTATGACTAGACAGAATCTGCGCCTCATCATAGACATTCTGACTGGTCATTGCCAAGTACGGAAGCATCTCCATATCATGGGGCTGGCAGAATCCGCACTCTGCAGGGGGTGCGAACAAGGAAGTGAGACCATCGAGCATATTCTCTACGATTGCCCGATGCTCTCATTTATTAGAATATTTGTGTTCAGGGAATATCGGCTAACACCGGCCGATATAAAAGGAGCACCTCTTGGCGACGTTGTCAACTATATTAAATCTGTAGGCTGGCTTACTAGCTAGGAGATGCCTATCATCACAGATACAGACACGGGGTAGCGAAAAAGTCTGGCAACAAGATATTTTCTTTAAAACGAATAAATGTATAATTATGAAATTATAGGGCGATGAATGGGATAATATTTCATTATCCCTTATCCGTAGGCTCACATTTGTAAGTAAAATAACTTTCAAAATATTTTACGTAGAATGCTCCTACATGACATGATTGTGTTTAAGAGTAATACGATAGAGCCTCAGTTAATCTAAAATTTTATTAGAAGCCAATGAGATCACTATAGTCTAGGATCTGAAGTAAAGTCGACCTTCACCTATTTATTTAACGGATGAAAGTTTTTAAAATAAATAAAATATGTTTATAAATATACCGCAAATAGGTTGCCTAAGAAAATACTGCCAAGACTATTTATTTTCTTATAGTAAAAAAAACGACACCCTATAAAGTATTCCCCAGATGCCTCGATTATGTCCAAAATTTAATCAGCTCGCCGATTAAAGTTTAAGTTTTTAAATTTGGTGTTTTTCTCTTTGTCCGTTTTTGAGGTTTATATAGTATATAGTATCTATTCTATATAGTAGGTATCTATTGAATATAAACTTTTGTAATAATAGGTTTGTTCGAAAAGCAGTTTGCAACCGTTGGCAACTGAATGAGGCATGCGCAGTCTATTTTTAGTGTTCGAGCAGTGAATTTGTCAAACTCCCAACTAACAGTTTTGCGTTCGAGTAGATCTGATTTGCAATTTCCAACCGTTGACTGACTATCAGAGCAATTCACAAACTAAAGTCGAATTATTAGTTGGAAGCATGCGCCGTTACTAGTATCTGTCAAATATCAAATAAACACATTTTAAAAGTTTATATGCAGAGAGTAATATCGATAATAATAATAATAATAGAAGTACCTAATAACAATAAAATATTTACACATAAAGGTAATTTATACATATTTAATCATCACTGATAGGTTTTTTTGCGTTTACATTTCAGCGAATTTTATTTTGTTAAATTTTAATTATTTTTTTAGATGTTGGATGATAGCACATCCTCAAGTTCCTCAAGCTCATCAAGCTCATCAGCCATAAGCATGTTAGAAATTTCTTTACTCGCGTTCGTGCAGGGAGAAAAGTCAAACAATTTGCTAACTGTCTAAAACTCTAAAACTGAGCATGCGCTTTGTAATCAAATCTCAAACTTGCTGCTCGAATAAACCTATTACTATGTAAGTTTTTGCACGATATTTTTAAATTTTTGTATATTCTTATATAACTGAACATTGTTACGTTAAAATGTATGATTGTATTTCTGATTAAAATGTATTTTTCCACTCTATAAATTGGTTTTAACTAATGAGTTTTGTACTAAATTAATAAATAATTTCAATGTGACTGATTTTTAATATAGCTCCACAGCTGAATGCCATATACAGTACGTTAACCGACGCATCAAGTATTAAGCGATCCGCAGTAGGCGACGTATTATTATAATATTTATGTCTATTCTATACCGTTCCCTGGAGTCAGTATTAGGAAGTCAACGTACTGTATGTCCACACGGTTTGGATAACTGTTTATACAGGAGAGTAGATAAACTTTTTTACGTCATCCAACCGCAAATAGATGCCATGTATATTAGTTATGAAGACTAGAGAGGAGGAGGCGAATCGGCAATGGTGAAATTTCAAATTTCCGTCCTTTTTTTTATAAAGTTCGCGAAATTGACTGTAGTTGTCATGTCGAATAATAGCGGTGTCAATTTTCTATGTAAGACAATGTAAAATAAAGTGATTTTTTAAAAAATTGGCGAAAAGAATCAAAATAATGTGAAAAAAAGTACCTGAGTAACATGAGTGTCAAAAAACATCAAAGGAAGATTTACGTCGTTCCGGATTGTAAAACAGGATACAAATCAAATATCAAATATAAAACTAAAGAAAACACAATGATAAATCAATTAAATGTATTTTTAAAGCTTCTAATGTAAGTAAAATAATGTATTATTTATGTCTAAATATAATATGTATCTTACGGAGTGTAGTTTATTTTATTACAAGTTTCTATAATATAAAATTTTACAGTCCTATATCCTGATTTACAAACAACAATAATTATACATTAAATTTAACTTACTAGAAAAGAAAATTTATTTTTTATAGAGTTTTAATGTTAGATAAAGAGTTGCTACTGTTATTTTTTTTGTTGAACCCCAACCCAAACAGCACAGTACGTCTTAAGTACGTACAGTTTTGGTACTGTACGTACAGGACGTAAAATGTACGTTTTAAGTACGTACACAACAGTACGTACCAGTACGTACAGAAAAGTACGTACTAAGTACGTACCTAAGTGTACGTAATCCTGGTTGCATACCTATTTTATTAAAAAACCTATGTTTTTACCAAATTTCTGTTGACCGTAGGCCAAAAAATGCAAAGAAAAAAGACGAAACCCAATTTATTTAACCTAACCTAAACTCTAAACTAAACTCGATCGTTTTTTTAAGTGTTGCAATGCAAGCAACCACGTTTCAACAGATTGTTTTTGTTAGTTTTTCATGTTTAGGTTTTAACTATTAAGTGTTTCATTAAATAAATAGTTGTGTATAATTTATTATAATTGAACAAGACAGTTATTTAGACTTTTTAGTGCGTGTTATAAGTACGTAGTTTTGTAATTTTATTCTGGTGAGTGGTTTCATTTTAATTTTAAAAAATTATGTGTAATAAATATAATTTATAGATATGTCATCCCATCCCATAGTAAACATTACAAAAATGCTACAAAACAATTAAAAAAGTTTAAGGAAATGAATAAACAGGAGGTATCTAATATTTTAGACAAAAGAAGTGATATTTTACAGACTCTAATAATTTAATTTTGGGACTATTGGACTATTGCTGGTGCCTTAATAACTAATAAGCTGGCAACAAATTATAATTGGCTGCAGTTGAAGTGGGTAAGATGTTTTAATTTCTTATTTTTGCATGCCAGTTTTCATAAAGTCGTTGCATTAAAACCCATTTATCTAGTCACAATTATTTTTGTTTCTAATGAAATTGTGTACTTCCAACCATTGGACTTCAAAACTGATGGAGATCAAGCTTAACAAAAAGAAATATAGGAGTTCCGATATTATAGAACAGTGGCAGGAACGAATTGGATTTCAAAGGCATAAGGCCAAAACAGATGGATACAAATGAGAGAGGTTTAGATCCAGGAGTATATTGACAATGATAATTTTGAGCTGTAGAAACTATCGCTTACTTTACTCTACATCTTTTTGTTGTATTGTTTTTATTATATTGTTTATTATAAAAAGTACCAAAGTTAAGTTTCTAATTTGAAATTATTTCTTTGCAGAAGGTGCTATAAAAAGTAACAAATGCAAAGTGAAGAAGTTTGTAGAACAGGAAATTGTGAGATGGCTAAGAAGAGCTGATGATAGCCTAAAAACTTTCAAAAAGATAGCAAAACAATTTAAATTATTCTTTTAATGTAAAAAATTAAATAAATACAAATTAACTTGTTTACTTTTCTTTTTATTGCACTAATACGTACATTATACATCATAAGTAAGTACCAATAAGGATGTAAAGTACGTCTAAAATATATACTCTATTGGATTAAGTACAAACATAGTACGTACATTAAGTACGTACACAGTACGTACATGAGGTACGTACAGAGTAGGTACATTATGTACATACAGAGTACGTACATTAGGTACGTACAGAGTACGTACTTTAAGTACGTACTAGGTACGTACCGTCGTTTGGAAAATGTACGTATTATGTACGTACTTCGTACAGTAAAGTACGTACATGGTACGTACTTTACGTCCCATCAGTACGTACATAGTACGTCTTATGTACGTAAGTGTGTTTGCTGGGAATTGTGTTATTGTAAATGTTTTTTATAGGATACTAAACGCTTTGAACAGTGGCAGCATACATATCGTTCCTAGTGCCGATAAAGCACTTTCTAGAGATGATACTGTTCTATACTTTTTAGAACATATCAAATATTATGAGACTATCTTTACTGTTAGAAAAATAAAATGGGGAAAGCTGAAATTAAAGGATGAGGTAATAACATGTACATTCCCAAATCTCCCTTTATACTTGTATTACAACAATAAAAAATCTGTTAACTGTGTTTTATTTTGCTCTTAAAAACTATATGTATTTTGAGTATGCCGATTCGCCTCCTTATCTCTAGTCTTCATAATATTAGTGCCACATACTTTGATTACTATACGGTGCAAGAGAGAGGTCC